TTGTGTTTGCTGTAGTCTCAAACGATGTGTCAGTTTTTCCATAATGTAGATTTCTTCTATTATTCCAGTCCATTGTTCTTGACAAGGTGGATCCGCCTTTCCCCATTTCCTCGTAATAGCTTTCTTGCTAGATATTAACAGTATCTTAATCAGATACCTGTCTTTTGCCCTTACTTTGATATTATTAAAATTGCAAAGATATAGTACCACACTACTCATAGGGATATCATATCCCAGAACCTACTCCACTGTTACATGAACATTTTTCCAGAATTGGACAATGATAGGACAGTTCCAGAATATGTGAGAATGATCAGCATTCATTGATCCACAGTTCCTCCAACACCCCATGTTTGTGCCCTTGTACCTATTCTGGACTTTAGGCGTGATGAAAAATCCATCCATCCATCCCCCATCCATTATCAATACCGCTTATTCCCTGTTGGGGTCGCGGGGGGAACTGGAGCCTATCCCAGTGGTCAACGGGCGAGAGGCGGGGTCACCCTGGACAGTCCGCCAGTCCATCGCAGGGCCACACACAGGACATACACGGACAAACAACCACTCACACTCACATTCACTCCTAAGGGCAATTTCCCCCATCTCCAATCAGCCTAACATGCAGGTTTTTGGACTGTGGGAGGAAGCCGGAGAACCCGGAGAGAACCCACACAGACACAGGGAGAACATGCAAACTCCACCCAGAAGGGTCCTGGTTCCCCCGGGATTCGAACCCAGAACCCTCTTGCTGGGAGGCGACAGTGCTAACCACCACACCACCGTGCCGCCCTGTGATGAAAAATCGTATTAGATTTTTCCATGAGAATTCCCTCCATATCCGTGAATTAGTGGACGTCTGATGTGTTTCCCACATATCCAACCAGTCTTCATCTGTAATTGTCGTGTTAAGCTCTGACTCCCACTTTTCTTTTATATATTTAGTCGAATGTTTGTTCATCATCAATTTTTGATATAGAGTAGAGATTATTTTAATTTTTGTTCCACTGGATGAATTTATCACAATTTTTATCACCCCATTCACTTCCACAGAGGGATCCCACCTGATTTCACTTGTGGGTGTTCTAAAACTAACCGAATATCCTCACACATGTTTAACAGATTCCTTTGTTATAGATATGAGAGTTTGAGCACAGTCCACTGAAAGATTGGCCGAACTAACCAGCTGTCACAATTTCTTTATTTGACTTAATAAGAATATTTTCACAAGGGAAAAGGAAAGGGAGTTTTCTTTTCCATTGTTGCCTTGTGCATGCTCAGGAAGGAGGTTTGAGTAAAAAGACTCATGATGGTTTTCTTAGCTACACACCTGTTTATGAATTTGTTTTTTAGATTAACATAACTCATGTGGATTTGAATTTATGACTAATAACTATTGATTCAACTGAATCTGCACTATATAAATAGAATGTAATAGCAGGATTTGTTTTTAATGGTCCCTCGTGACCAAAAATTAACACAAACATTAAAACCCTGTTTATTCACTTTGGGCACTCTGAGTAAACAATTTCATTGACGTTTTTCAGATTCCAAAGCCTGAAGTCACACACATGTTTAAACCGGCTAGTCTAGAATGTTTTACGACCAAAAAGAAATATGACAGAGGCCGAGACTTGATGGATTAAATAGTTTGGCTCCAAACATTTGGTTTAGTTTCTTTAGTTTCGTGAGGGATTTAATTTGTGTAACCAGAGACTCCTTTCTTTCTATTTCTCGTTAAAATTGATCCTTCCTTGTGATTGTTTTCTGGCCTCAGGTGAGACTGTTTCTCTAGTGGACGTGGACATCTCACGGCGAGGGACGAACACACCGCACCCCCCCACGCCCCCCGCTCCTCCACGCCGAAGTCTCAGTCTCTTAGGTACTTTTTTTTTTTCTCTCCCTATCTCGCCATCTTTCGTAGCGTTTCTCTGGAATATCCGCGTCTTTTGCCGCTCACATTTTCTGGTATCCGTTTCCAGAAAAACTCTGACACAGACAAGTTTTGGTAATCTGCTTTAATCAGATTGGTGGAGCTTTGAAAGGTCAGCATCAGATTTCATTTGAGATCTGGATGCGACTGTGACTCAATTGATGGTAAACAGAAAAAATCCTCTGTGGAGAAAAACACGTACAGGTTTTGTTTGTTTTCAACGACTCCTTTGTCTATTTTTTTTTCCTTCTACTGGCCTTTGGCGGTACAGTAGTTTGATATTTAGTGTCCCTTTTATGACCTTCTGAATGCTACTTTTAGCTATGAACTTGTGTTATTTAATGACCCAAATATCTATAATATCTCTAACTGCTCCAAGACAAAAGGATGTTTTTTTTTCTCGCTGAACACCAACATTTGAGGATTCCACTATATTTTTTCCCTCATCTTTTTCTCTTTAAATTACCTACCAAATATACTGGAGGATTATGTCCTCTAAACATCTGGTGTTAGGCCCCTCTGAATTCAATTGTTTCAGTAGTTTATGTGGAAGTGAACGAAAGAAAAGGACAAACATTGTGGTTGACGTTTCTCTGTTCAGGTCTTTGAAGAACCGTCATAATGGTGACCTTTTTTTTTTTAGTTCGAACACGTTCTCATTCGATAATCACAACACAAAACTGATTTGTACAAGTTGACATTTGGTTAAAAGACTCCCTGTCTGATGGTGCTGAGAGGTCCTCCTTTATATATATATATTTTTTATCTTCCTTCTTTCATTTATCCACCTGTTTCCTTCTCTTTATGCACTTTACTCCTTGCTCGTTTTTCTCTACTCTTCCCTTTCGGTTCGTCCTCTTTCCTGTCCCGTCGTCTCTCACGCCCTCTATTTTTGTTTTTTCTCTTGCCTTTTTGTCTCTTTTGTCCTCCTCCTCCTGTCCTTCTTCCAGATGACATAGCGGGTCCTCAGCCAGGGCCTTTTATAGTGAGTGTTATGGGTGCCTCTTTGCAGTCCCTTCCTTTGCCTCTCCCTCCTCCTCCTCTTCCCTCCCACGCCACCATCCAGCATAGTCTCAGCCTCAATGGTAAGACATGTCTGGGAAGTCGGGATTTAGAAAAAAACGGTGTCCTCTTTTGTGCCTTTTTGAGTATAAACTGGGATATTCAGCCATGTTTCTCGATA